TCCTTAGTAATTTTTTATGGGTTCAAACAATTTGAAATTATTGTTACTTTTAATCCTACTAAAACTAATCATAAGCATCCTATTTATCTACTAAAAAAATCTATTGAAAAGTGCATCAAGTTCTTAGCCTCAACATATCTTGTGACAGTGAGTCAGGCTATATGTTGTTGAATGCAATTCAAAAGAGTTAAAATTTGTACAATGTTAACATAATACCAGAAGAACAACCATTAACAGAAAAGCAAAACCAGTGCCATACTTTGCTATTCGTTATTGCATCCAATCTCATTTCTTTTTTTATAGAATTTTCGTTGTGTTTCTTTCCTGTATAAATATATACTCTAGCTTTACTCTTCACTTATATTTATGAAAAAGAGCAAACATTAGATCACCACTAATGTACTGCAAATACAGCAGTATTTGTTCCCATACAGGTATTAGTAAAAAGCTGCCTATATAGTCTATTTGCTCTGTTTTACTTTCCTGTCTCTAATTTATTGTTATGAAATATGATAAGGAGAAACTGTAAAAGTAGCTTTCCCTTTTGCAATACTAAGTGTGCTTTAGTGTTCAAGGAAAAAGAAGTTTAGTCTTTAAGAGCAAAATGGTGACCCATGGCTGAGAACAATATTTGTGGGCTAGCACAGCCCTTGTGGGGTTTTTAGTCTGCATTGTGAAGTATGTGAGTAATATGAAAAAAACCTTCCAGTAATATTTTAAACATACTTATTGCAGAAACCAAGAAAACTGAAGGAAATCAAATCTCAAGAACAATGCCAGTCTCTCTTGTGAGAAACAGTATAATAAATTATAAATACAGCATCATATGAAACAGAAGGATAAATTCAGCTTTGTTGACTGCATTTCTAAACAAAAACTTGCACAAATCAAGAATTTTTTGTTACGAGCTTTGATGATCAAGTTTAAATATTAGAAACAGAGAAAATTACTAAAGCTTCAGAAAAAGTAGCCATTTTCTACATTAACTCTTAGAAATACATGTTATGAATGTTCCTCTAATTATTTTAGAACATCAGGGCAAGGCATAATAGATTGGGACAAAATTTCATCCATCCAGGATAAATTTCAACACTGGCCAACAGCAGGTGACTAGCTGAGAGAGCATAAAAATGATAGACATGTACATAGTGCCAATTCATCCACTGTCTCCAGTGATTTTTTGTGTCAAGAATTTCTTGTACTGAATTTGGCATCTGTGTAAATCCAATCTTCGAGTTTGTCTAAGCAATGCTTGAACTGGCATAAACTTTTTGCACCCACATTTTGCAGCAAGGAGCTGCACAGCTTACCTACATGCAACATAAAGAAATAATTCCCTTTGTTCACTCTGAACGTAGTCTACTTTCATTTTTTTTTTATCATTTTAATTATTATTACTTCTCTTCCCTACCACAGCTCACATGAAAAATCAGCAACTCGCTGTTCATACCCGGGATAATCTACTCATGTATGGATTGAAAGCTCATCCCAGAAGGAACCTAATATTCTGATGAAAAACATTTTATTCTGTAAAGCAGAAGTTAGAATTCTACAAGTGGAAAAAAAACCTTGGAAAATTCTTACTTTTTAACTGAAACAAAATTTCCAGTGAAATCTGAAGCAAAGCACACATTCAAAATTTGAAGTGTCATACTGAGATTTATTGTTTTGTTTAATAATTTTCTGATTATGTCACTAGCAAAAATACAGCCTTCTGTTCACAAGAAAATAACATTAATTTGTATGTCCGATTTATGGAGACATGGACTATCAACCTCTGTGCAATCAGAAGGTTTTGTCATGACTGAGGTACAAGAAATGTTTCAGATCCACAAAGGAATGAGAAAGAAGAAACACTGAGCATGGAAAATCTCAGGTTCTTCTGCAAGAATCCCTGGACGTCCTGGATTGCATGGCAAAAACTTGCATATTTAACTAGGAACTGTGGGAAACCATAAAAGGATTATTTTATATTTGGACAAGGAATTAAACACATTTTAAGTGAAATTATTTGAGCTTTCTGAGTCTGCAAAACTCTACTAAAAATGTCACAAGAGCACATAATTACTTACTCTTTTTTCACATGTTTCTTACCAGACTCTTCTGTTTCACTTACTGGCCCAAATTCATAGGAACCACCTATGTCTGTCAAATTATTCTGGTGCCTCTGTAAAGTCTGAAGGCCGTTCTGTGCTTGTCCTGGCATAGTTCAGAACCGCACAGATTACATGGGGTTTTTTAAATATAGAAGATGCCTAGGGATATCAACATCCAGTAAGAACAGCTGCAATTCAGCAACTGGAGCCCATCCTACTAAAGCAGTACAGTAGCCTAACGTGATGGCTCTGCACTGATCCCCACCACCTCTCATACACAGCGTTCCAGTTGTTGTAGAGAATTAGCAGCCTAACTTGACCACATGTGCCAAAACATGCTACAGAAATCTGACTAATTGTAATTAAAATTTGATTAGTTTGCTCCTTTGTCCTGTGTTTTTGACCCAGTTGTGAATTTCCTTCTCTCTAATATGCCTTCCGCTTGTTCCCACTCCACCAGAATTCCCTTTCTCCATGCTGATCCCTCTTTTCTTTGACCCCAGCCTTGCTTTGTCTTCCAAGCATACTGTTTATGAGCTCAACTAAGGCTTTGCAATAAACTTTAGCAAGAAGAAAGCAAAAAAATGTACACTGTCCGAAGGGAAATGGCAGGCGCAGCACTGGATTCACTGACTGGTCCTCACTTCCCTTCTACCAGGGTTGAAGGTTTGTGAGGCAGCAAATGGTCTCACCTAATTTTAACCTAGGGACCCAACGCTGGTATTGTCAGCCACCTTAAACTGCTTTCATACCAGTGGAGAGGCTTTGGCACCTCAGGATTAAGACCGTTGTTAAACTGAACTCTAAATAGAGGCACTCATCTCTCTCCACCCAATACAGAAGGAGCCTAAATGGGCTTGTTCCTAACTTAAATGCATAAAGGCAAGTGTGTAAAGATAAATGGAGAAATCTCGGTCTAGGCCTATACCTTCCACTGATTGCGACCATGTTGGTGAAGGGCAACAGAAAGATGGCTTCCCTTAGCTCCTCCTAATAGAGAGTGGCCCACAGCAGGTACTTTCCTAAACGTGTCCCTGCCTGTGGTACAGGCAGCCAGCTCAAGATAACCCCATACCTACACGAAGACCTGTTATTTGCTAACCGTTTGAAGGAACTTTTTCAGAATTGTTACATCAGTAACTTAAGTATCTCAGGGAAAGAGAAGGCAGTCCCAGCAATGCCAGAGGAGGTATGGACATGACCAAGGAACATGTCTATGGGAGCAGTGGTAGGGCACCCGTGGATGTACAGCTTTCAATACATGAAAGCATAAACTAGAAGAGGACTTAGGTGCAGGACACATCCATGAGAAAGCCCACCAACTTCTTCAAAATTTTTACACAAAACTTTTTTAACAACAATGTGGAAGATTTGAGGGAGAAAAGAAAAACTTCTTAAGAAGGAACTGGTAGAAAATTTCTGTCCAGGCTTATAGAGCACAGAAAACTCTTTAAATAGGAAGATAGCCTTTAAGCCACTAAGTTTGAACTTGGGAAAAATATACCTCCTCTCTCTGTATATGCATTTACTGTTGCTTTTAGGAAGCATCAACTTTAAAAAAATATGTGCAAAGATTTTGCAAAAGATTAAGACCCAGATGATACAACAATTCAATTTTAGTATCTTGATAAAAGCTAAAACTTGATGACATTTGGTTTTGGGGGTAAGGGCAACTTACTACCTCCAACTTAAGAAGAGCAAAAAAAAAAAAAACCCACAAGAAAACAAAACCAAAAAATTAAAAACTAAGTGAAAAGCAGAGTAATTATGCAGACTCCAATACACATCCATATATTCTAAAAGCCACAGATTCCAATATGCATTCATATGTTTAGAAAAATTCCTTTCCCAAATACGTTGCGCACATATGTGATCTCATGTATATAAACACAAACACCAGCTGTTTTTATTTCCCTACTTACTTTCAGCAAATGTATCAAAATAGACAACACGACATACCTTTTCTATAGGTACACGCTCATGCAGAAAAGCAAGAGAGCCCTAGCAAATTATATTAAAGCTCACATTGCACATGCAAGATCAGTACCATCAAAGTACTTCAAGAAAACTAAAAACAACCTCCCCCAACAAAACTCCACATAACCTCCTGTTAATATTGCCAAACCATAGCTGCTTCTTACCACATTACTGAGAAACACATCTGCAATCTCGGACTTTCTGACAGATTTCCAACTTCTGCCATCTACTAACTACTGACATGCTTGAAGTGTTAAAAAATGTATTTTGTTTTTTTTAAATAATGGGAAAAGTATTTTTCACCTCTCATTTCCAAAAACAGCTGGAGCAGCTTGGCATAAATGTTCAAAAAATATCTCAACTAGTAAAGGACTGCCAAATTCCAGCAAGAAAGGTAAAACGACTGGGAAGAAGGACAAGCCACTGAAAATCTTTTCTTAAAATGGAAACACTTATGCAATTTCAACTCCCCATTACAAGCATTATTATGTCCTCCGAAAGTGAAAAACACAAAAGCTCTCTTTCAAGTGGACAGTTGGGCTACGGTCTGAAGGCCTCTCAATTTCAGTCTTAGGAAAATCAAAGGACTTTATCTTAATGAAGACAGAGCTTAAAAGCATCAGGTTCTGGTTTAGTGTAAAGACCTTCCCATATCCTGCAATTTTTAACACAAGCATTTTACAAATAAATACAAACAACTTGTATTTCGTACAAGCTCTAAACTTTTACTGATCCTGTTTTTTCTTTAGTCTATTTTCTGTTAGAATCTGTGCAAGATATGCCACAGGCTCAGGATTAAGAAATAATAATAATAAAAAAAATAAATCAATGACTACACACACACACACACACACACAAATTCCAATTCAACCCCCTTTTAACTTACAAAAACGTGCTTCATAGGGACCATAAAATCCATGTAATTACCTGCTGCAGGATCTGTGACTGCCTGACTGGTGATGCCAGATGGTGGTTCTTGAAGCTGGTATGTTGCATTTGTGGAGGGTGTCGTTGGACTGGTATTGCTGTTTGTCATGTAATGTGAAGGATATGGTGAGCTATTATAATACTGTGCATATTGACCCTGGCCAAAACTGGGATAAGAGGGATATTCCTGCAAGACAAAAAAGCAACTGAATAGTCCATCAACGTTTTGCTACTTTTTAGTATAAATTCCAAAATGTAACTACAAACACATGTCAGCCTTTCAGCACGTATGCTTCCTGGACTGGATGCTGTAGGACCCAAAACTGGGAGGCAGTAAAATGAAATCTAAATTACACATAATTTAGTATGTCTTCTCATACAAATAGTTTATCAGGCACACTACCGAAGATGTGTGAAAAAGAACATCAAACCCAGACAATTAGTGCTATTATTGGAAGATGACGAATTGAAGAAGAACATTTATAAACATTAGTTTAACTTAAAATGATGCTTATTTCATTCAAAAAGCTATTTAAGGGTTACATTTTTTCAGTGGATGATAATTCGAAGTTTGCCAAAGTTTCCTTGACTCATATTTACAAATTTACCTGCTGTGAACTATTAAATCCAGTAGAATTTGTGAGGGAATTATTTCCTGCATATATTCCTGATGATGTTGTAAAACTGCTGCCTGAAATGAAATGAAAAATTATGTGAATTACTAAAACACAGTATCAGAAAATAACTTCCATTATGCGATTATATCATAAGGATATGGCATATTTGTAATATTTCCCATATGTTGACCGATTTGGTTGTCATCAGCTCTATAACATGTTAATACAGGGAAAGTGATAATTCATCACTCCCACACCCTGTGTTTCATTACTGCAATAAAAAGAAAAATTTGAAATTTAGACAGGAATTTGGAGCCACCTCGGGTCTCACTGAATATTAGGCTACCCACCCCTCTGAATAATCCTCAGGATTGTGGAAGTAATAAGCATTTCTTCACTGTCAGTTTTTGTTGAATGATAACTGCGAGCCTTGCCCCAAGAGATGCCATCTTCCCTCACTGAAGCCCACTGGCTCCGTTTCTCCTACAACCTTCAATAACCAGGTCCTCTCCCCTCCCTGAGCCTCAGCGCCCGAAGGAACAGCAAAAGCCGTAACTCCCTGCTCCCAACAGCTCAGCCTGACTGTGAAGCCATTAGGATTTGGTAATCGATCATAGACAGCCTTGGGCCGCACGCCTTTTTCTTTTTTGATAGTCTACCGGGCATGACACAAGGAAAAAAAAGCTGCTCTCTGAGAAGGGAGACCCAAGATTGAATTTAGCCCAGAGACTGAATTACTGCCTTCACCTCCCTCCTCCCCTCACAAGCCACCAAAACCAGACAGATGGGGCTCTTGTTTAATACCTAACCTGAGAAGCTGTTCCACTAAAAGGGCAGCAACCCCCTTTCAGCTGTTTTGCCCTCGCTGGTTATAACCCGGGAGTGACACAGCCACCAGCTGAGACATATGGATGCACAGGGTGAAGCTACGTAAGCCAACAGAAAGTCTGTAATGAGGCAACCTATTGAACTCGTCCAGCGGGAGAGCACCAGCCAGCGAGGAGGACCTCACGTTAAAGCGCACAGGTTGTTTACAGCCACCCTCGCCACCGAAACCTGCCTTAGAGCAAAGATGCACAGAGACCTTGGGAGCAAAAGCTTGCAGGTGAGCAAAGGAGACAAGGAGGGATGGAAATCAACAGGGAGCCATGGCGTACTGATACACCAATCCTCTGATGTACCCGACACAACTCAATTAACAACCAAATCCTACACAGTGGTTACTCATTGGGAAAAACAACATTTCTTGCAACTCCAAACAGCGAGGAATGCAGGCAGGGCTGCATGCTTACTACAAGCCCTAAAGGGCATTTGTGAGCTATTTACTTTCTTAAACAAAACAAAAAAACCACCCCATAGGTATCATGGCTATAAAAAGTCAGAAGGTGAAATATTTAAATGCTTTGATTGCAAAGGTTACTAAAAATGCACACAAATTAAGCCACAAAGTAGATGTGAAGTTTGTCCAACAGCAGTGGGAGTAAAAGATGAAGCTTAAACTTAACGCACGATAATGACTGTAAACACTTCTCTTGTATCTGCTATTAGTGCAAAAGCTCTGTGGTTGTTGATAGATGCTACTAATCCTGTGAACTAAAATCAGACTGCTTCAGCAGAAGAGTTGACATCCAAGTTTAGCAGATAGTACAGATAAACAGTACTAATGAGAAAAACATGTTGTTTTAAATTTAATTTAAAATTGGAAAACAGATGGGGTTTTTTTATTATAACAAACCCCAGAGCCAAAATACAGCTGAAGAATATTTTAATTTGCAAAACTTTGAAATGCTATTTTATTTCTAAGAGTTCTTTGGCTGGAAGAATGTAAGTCACTGTGTCTCTTTTTATTTCTGTAGTTATTTCTGAGTGATGCAGTAATGCATTCAAACACAAGCTTTATAGGTGCGTGGTTTGAACCATTCCAAAAAGATATAAAAGGCCTCTCATAGTTATAAGAATGGGGAAAAAAAAACAAACAACCAAACACCACCAAAATTTTTTTTGATGAATACATTACCTTTCCACAGAAAGTTTGGGAAGTAATTTGCAAGAGCCAATGAGAAAAGTAATGACATGCCAGCCAGCATCGCTCCCTCTCAGACAAAGACACACACATACACAGACCTCTCTCTTTCATCTCATGGTCAGCGCTGGCTCCTATGGAGGAGGGGTAGGGGTCTCCTAGACCGTAACAAACATGAAGCAGGTTTCTCAGAAACGGCTCTGTGGGCCACCCAGAACTACTGGCCTAAAGTTGTTTTTAAAATACTCCAATTTTGCCATTTGTTTTTTAAATAATCGGCCATGGCACGGCATAGAGCTGCTGTTCCTGCCCCGGCTGAGCAAACAAAAAAATAAGAATCTTCACAAAACGCGTGAGATTTACTGCCCCAAGTTCGCCTGCCACGTAGCTTTAAAATGTGATAAAAGCTGTAAATTGCAGGTCAAAGGTCTATTTTGCAAAGGGCGCGGACCCACATTAAAGCTGGGAATCCCAGTCAGCGTCGGAAAGCGGCTGGACCCTGCTGGGACCAGGGCGCGGGCTCCAGGCGCAGGGCTTGCCCCCGCGCCGCCGCGAGGCGCAGGATGCGGTCCTCCCCTGGGAATTTGCCACAGAAGTCCATTTGCTTTCCTAGCTCAGTCTCCTTGCCATGGGCTATGTCTATCATCAGGGTACAACGTATGTGGCAGCAGTTTAGTGCAGCTCTCCTGGGAGAGCCTAAGACGGCCAGATGGGCTATTTAAACTCAAGGTTTCTTCCGTTTGCTTACGGTGTTTAAAAATCCTTGGCAAACTCCCCCTTGTTGTCCTAGTAACTGCTTAGCCATCCAGCACAATATTTTTATACTGTATAATAATAACCAAATACCTTAACGTTTACTTTTTTATGGATGAATTCCCAAACCAATTGGTCATTATATTCTCAGACACCACAGTCTTGGTAACTAAAGCAACGCTGGTGCTCATCACAGGTATAGTAGTATTCCAAGCGGTAGGATACTGGGGTGCAAGGTAAAAGCCATGCTTTTACCACAGCCAAAGGATACTCAAGAAGACAATTGCAAATGGAGCTCTTCCCATCGCGTTTCCCCCAGCCCTTCTCCACTCCATTTATCCTCCTGGGCAATCCTTATAACTCTGCCAATATAGGAACAACGGCCTGTTCCCACAGCCATTAGTCATGTAAGTGGTCTTTCAACGTCTATGAAGCAACTTATATGAAAAACAGCTTAAGAAACATACTCATTAAAGTAAGGGTGGGGGAAATGGGGAGACGGGGTGGCAGAACCACCCAGGTCCTCTTCACACCCGCTCCACTCTCCACCCCCTGTTATAGGGATGATAAATTTGTAACAAACAAAAACCCAATTACCAGAATAACCTTAGCAAGGAGTCACAGGCAGTGATTTTCCTTACCATTTTCAAAAGTTGGCAGTCTCTCCCTCCGCTATTGTTCGATGACTAATCACGCTGTAATTTTAGCAGGGTCAGGAAAAGCACTGGGTTTAATTGGCTGCACACACACCGCAAGGCAGCGCCTTTACATTGCAGGGAGAGGGACCAGAATAACTCCAAAGCTTTTGAGCGCGAGGTAACCCCAATCAGGGAGCAACAAGCATGGCAACTGCAAGGCCGCTAGGAAATCCCGTTTACTGCAGGCAAGAATGCCAGCCAGGCCCCGAGCACGCTGTCATGCAACGCTTGGTTGTGAAGTAGGTTGTGGGATCCATCATCTCCATTTAGCAGCTCAGCAGCCGCACACAGGAGATGAAGAATGGCTCTTGCAAGGCTGAGGCTGCAGCCTGCCCATATACTGCTGGCGGAGGAAAGGAGAATAAACTCATTTTCCTCTCTGGAGGCTTCTGCACAAACAAGTGAACAGCAGCAGCACTACCCCTGTCTTCTGTCAAGAGAATCAGTTTTGTCCTTAAATAATAGGTGAAGCTATGAATAGGTTCCCCTTCCAAAATTAAGTGAGGAAAGGGAAACAAAAGTTCCTGTTTACTTTTAACATCTGTTCAATCAAAAGGAAGAATGAAGTCAATTTAAAGTTGTTTCAAATTCAAAATTTTGCCAAATGAAAACATTAAAAAGACATATATTCTCATATAGTATAGATATATACTGTCAATATTTAACTGCGAGAAAGACCTGTTCAGCAATGTGATTATTTTCTACTTAGCGTCTTACAACTCCAGCAATATCTTAATTTGAAATATTCTCCTTATTTCCAGTCTTACGGTCTGTAAGGTTTCTGTAGGAGACCAGTCCTTCCCTCATCCACACGCCATGCTCTTCATGAGCACAACAGAAATGACATACACACCACGAGGACCCCAGACTCTTCCACTCGGTCCTGTGGTTCTTCCACCCAAGCCAGACTGTCAGGGATCTGCTGCCTTCCACGGACGACACAACTGGAGCAGAACCCAGGCTCAACCCCCCTCCTCCCTCAACCCTGCAGATGATATCAACACCTCATGAAATCAACACCTCTGACCCTCCTCTCGTTAGAGCTTCACAACTGGGTCATCTCTAACACATTTCTTTTGCAGAATATTTTTAGATCCTTGCCTTTCAATGTGTACAGCTGAAATGCTTTCCAAGGTCTTACTGTTCCATCTCTTGACAACCGCCACCCTTTCATGACCTTGACAATTCTGATCTTATACATTTTGCATATTGCAGAAAACAAAGCAATACCCTTTATGACAGACCTCTATGTAGTCCATTGACCAAGTCCTGGCTTTGCTCTACTAATGCCAGAATTCACTACTTAGTCTTAAAATTTTCCAACAAGCACTCTCTCACATTATCCCATGCTGCTCCCCCTTTCCTCCTTCCATCGAATGAGTTTCCCATAGACATCTGCAAAACTACTTCACTGTCCTCCCTAAAATCCCCTTTTATTGACATCCCTCTGCTCTGTATCTTACATAAAACCCCCACCTTTAGAGCTGTTGGATAACCAATATGGGGTGACGGCTGTTTATTACACCTAAACTGTGTCAGCTTTTTTGTTGTATTAGGCCCTAATAAGGCTGTGTGTTTTATTTCACCCTCCAACTTCTATGGGGACTATATTTTCATCTGGCTGTATAAGTTAGCACAACAGGATCCTGATACATGACTGTGGCACAAAGGCACTACTGCAAGAGAAATTACAGGCAACACAGACATGATTTTTCAATAACTCTATTTCTTAGCAACCATGAATTATCAGTTCCTTAAAAGCTGGAATGTCGATCCAGGAGTTCCTTGTAGCTGCTGCTGGCAAGCATTTTGAGCTCTCTCCTACAGAGAAGTAGGGGTTTTTTTTCAGAGAGGGTATGCATGTTTGGTTTTTTTAGTGTGACTATCCGCAGAAAGCAAGACCAACAACCTGGTTATGGTTATATTTACTCCCATGAGTAGAAGATTACCACTATTCAGCATGTAGACGAAAGTTTTGCATACTGCTCATGCTATCTTCCTCTTACTTGTCAGAGCACACTACAAGTAAGCAATACTTCAGCTGTCAGATGGTAGCTTCTGCCCTACAGAGCTACTCAACACACAGTTCAAAAGAGGATTTAAAAAAACCCTCAAAACCACCTCTTTTGTGTCTGAGTGAAGGACTGGATCAATATACCCCTAAAGCCGTGGAACAAAAGCAAAAACTCATTCACTTGGTCTCTGAAAGCACTTCTGCCTCAAGACATTTCATGGAGCGTTTACATGATGGCGCAGAGTTTAAATGGAGCATGATAATAACAAAGAGAGGTGCTAAACTTTTAAAAAATGTGGTCCAGTTCTGTGAGTGATCATTTATTTCAACAATTCTAAAATCTGCAACACACGTGATTTCAGCTGTCAGACTGGGGTGTGAAAAGTCCTGCAGCAGACATCCAAAATTAGCTATTTGTAGTAAACAAGGACTTTTTAAAATATCCCTTAAAGTGGTGCAAATCCAGAACCAGGCACACCCAGCAACTTCCCAATACAGAAGAGGAAAAAGGAATCGGGAAAACAAGGTGGAAAGATATTAAGTAAACCAAACAGGCAAGTAAGACTACAAAATATAATCGATAATAATAGCCCTCACATACAAAGACTTAGAGCTTTTAAATAGACTTCAAAGAAACAGACTTCAATCATTACTTAGCTACCTCCACAGCTGCAGTAGGTATTTTTATCTTCTTCTCCCTCCCCGCACACACTCAGGTGTCAAATTATATTTGGCACTTCCTAAATTCATAATCCTGACACGTTTTCCAGGACTCGCTTTGTCACATTCACTATTTGTTAAACTACTGCTATTTGGAGATACATTTTTACTGTAATAACACTACAACACTTCACTATTTAAAAATTAATGAAGTCACTAAGCGAGGGATCTTCCAAAGTGCTGAGAGCTGGCCCATTGCTGCTCTCAGCAAAGGCAATCATCATTTCAGCTCCAACTGCAATAACATCAGAGGTAAGTGCTCGAGCAAACATTCATTTTTATACTAGGAATGTAAAGAAGCAAGAGGGGGGAAAAAAACCCCATAGCATTAACTATATCTAAATAATGGTAATATCTGTTTATACAGACCTTGCATCTGGTAGCTATAGGGAGCCTGTCCAGGTTGAGGTGTGCTAAAGCTGGCACCGTAGCTTAGAAATCCTGTCTGTCCAGGTGACTGTGACTGTGCCAATCCACCTTCTGTCTTGATGCCTGCCCACAATGCACCTAAATCAGTTAGTGACAGCAAATCTATTTGTTCATATTCGAACAGGGATGGAAAATAAAATCACTTAATTAACAGCATTTTTAACATATACCTACTACTGCATGCGTGAGAGAAGAAATATTGAGAGCATGCACAAATGAACAGGGTAAGGGCAGTCTAAAAGCACACATAAAACTGAAGTTCACCAGGGAGAGGTTAAATTCAAAACTGTGTTTCCAATAACTGCAAAAGAAATTTATACATGAACAGGAAGTTGCATTATTCCTTTTTTCCTTTCCTGCCAGAGGCTAACTTTTCCATATATTCATGACATTTCACAGAGGTAGATTAGCGACTTTATATGATTTTACTGAAGCATAGCATAGCCAAGCTCTCCTGCCATCCACCCATTAATGACATAACTGAGATTTGCATGGTATAATATTCCTACATGAAAATTACATGGCTCCGAGTGCAATGGCTTTCTAAGGAATTAGAAGTGGATAAAGAGAACCAGCAGCATTAAGCATAATGATGATTTTCAAAGCTAATTAAACACTATAGGAGGCATTCAGTCTTTTAACAAATAAACACCTAACAGACAGGAACTATTCCTGAAGCAATCTCCCAAACTGGGAAAAACACAGCAGAGTCATTAATCTGCACTGACAGGGAAATCCATTACACATCACATTACCCTCTCATTTCCAAATTTAGTAATAAAAGAATCCAAAGTGCAATTAAATGAATGACTTGCCTCCCAACTTCAGTGATTCTTCCCCCAATTTGTAAGGCAACAAGCAAGTAAATATCAGCAAGTGAAACACTGAGGAAATGCACACAATTCAGCCTCTGTCTCTTAGTTTTAATTATAAGGCTGTCCCAACATGAACTACCATTTAAAAATAATTATAGCCAAAGCAATGGAAAAGTAATACAATACTCTTAGGTTTCACTGTGGCATTCAGTGATACCTCATTGTTCAGAAACCACCGTTATTTGAACTGAAATTAACTAAGTGTGAATTAGCAACATTCCTTTGAAAACGACTGCTAATCTAAGTCCATTTCCTGGTTGGATTTTTTTTTCTTAAAAAATTCAACAATGTTTGAAGGTAGGAGAGGGCTGAGGCATTACTATGTTTGCAAAACTTCAGTATCTCCCTATATACAAATGGCAGCATGTTTTTTTCTGCCGTTTAAATCCTTATATTTCAACTGCTGTCATTAATTACCCTTAATTCCTTCTGCCAGACCTGCTAACTGCCAGACTAACCCTGTTTGCTTGTTTTTCCCTGATGCTTACTTGCTTCTTCTGTTTCACGTTACAATTCAACGATCAGAATGACGAATCTGACACCTCCTTTCCAAGGGGAAACTCCTGCTATGGATGTTTTGGTATCAGCGATCCCTATTTGTTGTCTGTTTAAGGACTTCTGAAATGCTGATTAAATATTGCTCAGGGAAAGTTTAACTAAATCACGGATTACATTTCTAGTCCAGCTTTAACGGCCTGGTTCAACTCTCCATCGCGGACGAAGAGGGAGGAGACGATCAAAGGCAGCAGCAGGAGGATGCCACTTGAGTGAAGACAACTTGGCACTGATGTGCCCTTTTGCAAACCTCCGTGCAATGAAGAGCCTTTCATCTCCTGGGACTTACTCTTCCCACCTGCTCTCATCCAGAAGGCCTTCACTCATCAAACCTTGCTGCTCCCTTCTCCTTCTCCCAAGCTTAATGCATGCAAGGAAGGGGGAAGGGACAGTGAGAAAACATAAGGGGACTGCCAGGATCTGGAAAGAAGTTGGTAAGCAAAGCCTTTGCTAGATGCTGGTACCAGAGCAGGCAGGAGGAGGGAGCTTCAGGAAATTCTCCAGCCTCCTCGGGGGCTTTGCAGATGAACCAGAGCCAGGAGCCCCTGGGAGGCAGCTGTCAGTGGCATTCCCCTCCACCCCCCTTCCTGCCTGCTTGGCTGTGCCGCGGTGGAGGTGGGGGAGTGGAAAAATGAAGAGGCTAGAGGTGCATTCGAGACAGCACCTTCCAAACCCTGCCCTAGAAAGAAAACTTCAGGGAGGCTGAGATGGGAATTCACTATTACTTTTTCTTCCAGTACGTCCCAGAGCAAAGAAACAAGGGTTTTTCCTTTCACGTACATTATAGGCCTCCTCAGTTTATACCTTCTGGAAGCTCTCTGCCTGGACAAAAGAAAGGGGTACACGGGGTCTGAGCTGCAGACCCAAGAGGAGAATTTTGGCTCCAAACAAGGCTTCAGCTCTTGCCTGTTGAAAATGAGTGCCCCAGGGTTCCCCACGTAATTTATTTTGGGAGCACAGATTATATGATGTGCCTTAAATACGCAAAAATATATATGGTGGTAGGCCCCAAAACTTTCTAATAGTTATTTGCTTTTAAATATTACTCCTATGAAGTATATCAGCACAAAGCACCTTAGCTTTAGTCACAAGGTGCTGGCTGAAAAGAACGAAACATGTTAAAATCCACTCCGGAGCTGCGGGTTTCAGTGGTCAAAAGCAGCTCTGCAATGTAAAACGTTAGACAAAATTATCCGGAGTCCTAGGTGCAGGGGATGGACTGGGCAAAAAAGCAAAACAAAACAAAAGAGCAGGCAGGCATGTTAACCCCCAGCGAGCAGTTGCCAAGTAAAGCAACTCTCAATTATAGCTCCAATGACAGCGAGACAGCTAAACTCAAGTAGTGAAATCAAGGCCTTGCTGAAGTCAGTGGGAGTTTTATAGTTGACTTCAGTGAGGTCAGGATTTCCTCCAGAGGAACCAAACAAAAACCAATAAAGTCAGTGTTTGGGCTGCCCGAGCCACCGGAGCCAGCCAAGTATGAACACGAGGTGTCCGCAGGAGAAACAGGTCAAGAAAAGCACGGTGGGGAAAGGAAGGAAGAAAGGAAAAAGCCCAGGGAAATCTGTTATCACACCACCTGATCCAGCTGGAAACAGCAGACAAGCCCTCATCAGCAACACGAGCTTGTGGTGGTGGTGGGGAAGACTCCCCATCTCCAGAGTCTTGAAAATGTAGCTTAAATATCCTTAAAATATTTTGTATAAGTTTAAAATATGTGGATTCAAACTGAAACATCCAATTCACATTTATAACGGTATTTTTGGCAGTAAGTAATCAAGGCTGTAGCCACAGGAAGAATGCTTCCTGGAATCATAATTATTGATGATATATTAATGAAACACATTTTTTAAAGAGGAAATAATCGTCTATTTCTTGTACCCTACTGTTCACAATAATCTGCTGGAGGATATACTTGAGACCCAGTGGATTTCAACTTGCAGATTTCAGCATGAAAGATTCACCAGTTCTGCACTTAAAAGTTTTAATGATTTTAAGGGGCACAGCTTGTACAGCGAGTTCTGTCCTTTTGGTATAAAACTTACATTACCTGAATGTATCTTTACAAAATATACTGCTAAAAGCATGTGGACCGTATATTTTTAATACATTCCCCCAGAGGAATATAAGACTTATTTTCTAATAATGCATCCTTGCTGCTGAACTGCTATGTGGTCTGCCAGCAGACAGTCTGGCAGCAAAATGGTCTCACCCACAGCAGCTTGTTTTTAAATTAATTTTTTTTTTAAATATTTGCTACTTAGTACTATCTTCTTCATCAGGCAGACAGAGCTTTAGTGGCAATTTATCTCAATTTTCACCTCCAGGGAGTTTTAAAAAATTGACAGTGAGATTTTTTTTTTTTTTTTGGTAGGGGTGTTTTTGAATCAATTTTCCACCTGCTGGAAATCAGCACAGCTTCACTGATTCACCTGGGTTCCAGCAATATGGATCAGCTGAAATTCAGACCTTTATGTACTGATGTGCCCTACTGCATTGCTGGAGAGCAGAGCTCCTCGGCAGGTCACCAGGAGCTGTGCCTGTGTAATGCAAGTCCCTAGATCTCATTTCCCATTTCAGTGCTGGTTTTTTTATATCACCAATAAAACCCTAACGAATCTCTCTCCTTGATCCCAAACCAGACTCATCCTCCGGAACAGCTTCTTAGATATTTAATAGATAAATTAAGCATCACTCACTCCTGTGGCAAAACTACCAGTCCTCCATAAGAAATGCTCGAGAGCATGGCTGTCCCACTAAGCACTACATGACGCAGGGGTCACGTAACCTTGTTCTAAAAAACATTTACCTCTGGAATAAAATAACACGGACGTGGTTTCTTACCATACGAAGGGATTCCGTAAGGTTGGCCGGGCTGGGGGTAGGTGGCATAAGCTGTAGCTTGTTGCATCCCCGTTGTAAATTGTGTCTGTCCATACGCAGCCATCGTTTGTGAAGAGGGGGTAGGAAGAATATGTGGGTATGGTCTGCTATTGATTACAAATGACAGAAAATAGGACAGACACTGCATTAGACAGACATGCGTGTACTTATTTTTAGCCTTATTATAATCCTGCTACTTCATTAACACATAATCATAGGCTGTGCTAAACAACAGAAACTGTAAGACAAAGGCAGAACAATAAGAAATCAATAATAAAAGAATAAGTACAATAAGAATTTTCCAAATTTTTTTCACACACATTCTTAGCATTAAAGAAAAAATAAAAAAATTTTCCCTAGAAGCTGCTGTGGTTTAAATTATGACTTAACAGATGGACCCAATTATTATTTTAAATGAGGTTAAAATCTGCCTATTTCAGTTATTATTACTACTACTACTATTATTATTTTTAAAAGATATCATACTTGGAAGGGTAAATCTGTGGTGGGGAGAACTGATGTGTTTGTCTTGGGCTGAAACCACTGCTTCCAATTGCTGCACCAAGGAGAAAAGAAAGCACACAGAAGTGTAAATACACACACCAAAGATAAATATTATTTTTCCTAATAGAATTTCAGGGTATTAACAAGATTTTAATTAAATTTAAATATCATTGATACCTTTAGATAGAAAATAATATTTTAGCAGGAACTATACAAGAATGTTTAACATTAAAATCTTGATTACAAATTTCAAATACTAAATTGCCCCTTTGTACAACTCCTGGGCAATAGTTTATTCTCTGCTCGCACACAGACAACATTTTCAATGCAAACAATCTATTTCCTATTGGAAACATTTCCCTCCATATTTTCAAAGGATTATTGATATCTCAAGTGCAACATTTTATTAACTTTCAGAATTTTTAAGACCTATGTTTTATGAAGGAGCTTTATGCGTGCCTCGATTGAAAACATATGGCCAGCTTCAGAGCACGTGCCCCTTTTTTTTTTAAATAATTCCATAATGCAGACCGATGTATTACCACATTACACTTCCTTCTCTTTTTTTCCCCCATCTTATCTGCTTTCTAAAACGCTTTCAGATCTTCAGAACACTCAGCATTGCATAAAGATGCCACGACCAATGTGCCAATTTTCTTAGTGAAACACTTAAGCCTAGGAGGCTAAAATAGCGAGCTTCTCCCCCACTGCCGACACAGAGCTTCACGCCAACCCATCCCCATTTCTTTCAGTATTTTTGGGTGCTGCCAAGAGCGTGGAGGATGTGCCGGCGTGCTCCGTTCCGGGCAGTATTTTTGGGAGCCCTTCCCTCTCTGGGTACTCTTCGGGTGCCATTTCTTCCCTAGGCCCCAAGGTGGGTTTTGAAGCCTTTGCCAGGAAGGGGTCAGCAGCAGGTTATGAGACTACTGTAAAATCAGACAGCCGGAGAAACAACAGGCCCCATTGCTAAGTACTTGGAAATAAACAAGGCACGGATAATTACCCTTCGCCAGCTACCCCTTTCCTGGCCAACTACAGGGAAAATCCATCATCTTTACACTCCGGGAGCACTCGCGAAGCGTGGAGGGAAGCAGGGAATCCCTTTCCATGCCTTCCACACCTGGTAAGTTTTTCCTTCTGTGGCCTGCGAGGCTGCAGGTACGTCAAACATTAGGGTCCGGCCTTTAGGCAGATCACCACAGATGTACATAGCTACTAGTAAACACACTACCTTTTCTTCTTTTGGAGATTTAAAATTCTCCAGAAACTTTTTTTTTTTTTTTTGGCTTTCAAGTTTGATACTTTCATACCCAACAGTGTGCGCAGAAAATGGAGGCTGCGACAAGAACCAGAAAAGGGTTGGCTACTTGGAGCCTGACTGGTTGCGAGATGTCAAATTTTGCCACTGTGAAAATATAACCCCACAACATAAGATTAAAAAGATGAAAAAGATCCTTTTTTTTTTTGATTTGCACCATAAAAGCAATGTGCTAGAAATGCCACCGTTAATCCACAGGTATGGCAAAACTGTGTGAAACATCTTAGGATTTTCTCACAGTGTTTGCCTCCTGTATGTTAGAAGCTAAAACGTGTTTGGCTTCCAGAAAGAAAAAAAAAAGCCTGACAAAAGGATGAATACCTTGATAATAATAAATTACAATAAACGAGGAAGAACCTACCCCTCAATTACAACACTAATCACAGAGGCAGGTATGTTCACTCACAGAAAACAAAAGAGTAATTACTCTGGGCCAGAATACTCCCTAGTGAGACTCCCACTGAAGACACCGGTGGACATTAATCAGCCTGATGCTGTAACGCTCCTTACTCGAGGAAAACTCCTATTGACTTACACCGTCTGAGGAAGATGAACAGGGAGAGGCATAAGCTGCAAAGCGCACACCACTTTTTAACAGCGGCGTATGGGTTTAGACCACATGGGATAAGAAAATAGTAAATGAAAAAAAAATGCTGAGCTTAAAACCTTTGTTTATTCCTTACCTGATCCTGAGAAATTGTCTAAAGACCCGTCTGTGGTAGTAGTAGTAGCAATCTCACTGCTGCTCATTGGTTCTGTTTTAACTATAGAAATATAAATAAAATATATTCTATATGCACCTAATATTCTTGCACACGCATGCACACACACTCACTGCAGCCACAAATTCAATAAAACAAAAATCTGCTGAAAATGTTTTAAATCATGGCCATTGGTATTTTGCATTTCATGTATTTGTATATACAAACAATGCAAAGTACTGGCAGCTATGATTTACACATACATATAAAATGACCAAGAGGGTTATTTCTGTCCCCAAGGAATAAGAGCCACTGTAACAAACCAGAAGTCCCCATGCAACTCTCTGCACCTGTCCTGATTCCTCTTAATCCTGCAGACCCAACAATAAGGGTCCACATTTCGATCAGGTCACACAGACATTTACAGGTTGGAAAGACAGCAATTTGAGTAAGACAAAAAAGGAAATAATTTTTAAATCGGTTTCTGTTCACTTTTTTTTTTCTCCCCATCCAAGTAACTTTTCAGAGGAAAAACAATTTCTAATGAAGTAAAACACTTTCCCCATGGTGGATTTCTCCTCTCAAAATGAAAACCAACTCCATACTCAGCAACCCTGAATACACATAGGGGACACAGTCCTCACCGGATACTTCAAAGAATGCTTTTACATTTTATTCCCTCTGCACCAGGAACACAACACGGCTGTCAGAGAGTGAAAAAGAATGAGAGTAAGAGAGATTCTCTCCTGGCTCATGCTGCTTCATAATTAATTATTAATTAATGGCTTTTAATAAAGCCTCAAGTAAATAAGCAAATTTCCCTTTCGGTTACTCCAGCGCAATCTCAGTAACAGCAGTATTCTGATCCATGGAGCAAGGCGGGGGCTGACCTGGCATGGATGTAAACGGGCACAATACCTACGCCCAGGGAGTTACCAGATCAGCATGACAATCTCTCAAATCCATTTTTACATACCTATCTTTTGGAGTTACAGCACACCAAAAGCAACTGAGGATGACGTTTCAGAAAACAACGGAGCTGATCTTACCATCAGCATCCCACCGCTTTCACTCTTGTCGACACGCACAGTCGCCACTTCCCACACACCAGCGCTGGTGCATACCTGACCTTTCAGTGAGGCAGTTCAGTAACACTGCCGAAAGTGAATCTAAGAAACCCAAGGCAAGCTGCACCCCATTTGACATGTAAAGCCTTAGTGTCATCTCAATATAGGCATGCGTGTGTGCATGTATGTTCGTGTATACATATGTGTTCAGGAATTGCAACCATCACTTGCAGAAACCCTTTTGGCGCCAGGTTTGCAAAGGATGAGGGAGAGGCACTTTCCCCTTTTGACAAAGGACCTTTCCTTTCCAATCCAAATTCTTATTTCCACATGCCTCGCTATTTCCTTCACCTGACCTCATCCAAGAGATTTACATGCAACCTCTCAAGATTTTACTAATTGCCTACTATTTTCTTTCGATGCTCATGCAGGATGTGTTGTCTGCACACACTAGCTCAGGGGATCAATACTAGCTCCACACAAAACTCTGCTATGTGTGCATTAGCAAGCAGTGCAGCTCAGTAAGAAAAGTTTCATGGAGTGAAATGGTTGATGCAGAGGGTCCAGTATCCACAGTTGAGGCATTTTTGGGGGTTCATGCTAGGTTTAGTCTTGCCCCAAGGAGGGAGCACCCATCAGCAGCTGGATAACATTAGCTGCACTCGGCAGAGCACCTTTTCTGAAAGAAGTGAAGTCCAAGAGACTCCAGAAGGTGAATTAACATGTTGGTGAGAAGGGGTGGCCAAGAGGTTCACTTCAAGAGTGCACTCATGACCTGAACTACAACTCTAATACAAATGTATTTCTTAAAAACACAGCATATAACATATCCAACACCCATTTCATAACTAAATACTGAAAGTCTAACACACAGATGCAATAAAATATTTGTTGCAAAGTGTCTATCCCAAGCAATTTTCCGGAATCCAGAATTTTACAGCAAGTTCTACAGTTTGTTAATCTAGTTACCAAGAATTATAGCATCTACATTATCTTCTGCTTTTTCTTAGAAGTTTACCACAGCGGCATTTTACAGTCAGATGAATACTTCCCTCATAGATTACTCCAGCTTCCCCCCAAACTTGCAAGTCTTCTGAACCTGATTTCCATAATGCAATTATACTTTTGGAAATAACACTGAGAGATGCTTTCCTCTGTAGCTGACAGCTGTGAGGGAGGAAAAGAGAGGAATATGAGACAGATCAACCTAACTTGGGGTAAAAGGTGGAAGATTTCTCAACATGCTTTCTTCAAACTCTTCCCCTCTTCTCTACTGGAGAAACAATTCTTCCATATTCCTTGTAAAATAAAATATCATCATTTGGATCACTGCAAACTAGCAGCCCAAGGACTACACTGAGACACTCTATCGAGACCTACAGCATCGTTTGTTCTAGATAAAGATTTTTAGGATAATTTCTTTCCAAGGAGATGTAAATGCCTGCCTTGCCATTGGTTTAAAAGCCTACTTCACATGCACTGTTTGCCACCAATCTGGATCTCAGATGCTTGTTAAAGATAGCATTTTGGGAAAAACTTCATCAAAATGGAATTTCTGTCTCTATGAATCAGGAGCAATACTTGAGTGCAACCACACAACTTTTGAAGATACAGGGAAACATCTATGAAATACACTGCAGTGCCTTCTTCATGGAAATGAACTCTAGTTGCTGAGGTGCTCACAAATTTTTCACAACAACTGTTCCTTATCTCTCCTCTCTCAACCATTGTATTTCTGGAATATATGAAAAAAATTGGATGAGAAAGGCTGTTCACAGTATTCCTGATCTGGATACCCATTAGTAGGGTGATAATAAATAAGCCCTATCATCCTGTCTTTAGGAACAACCATGACCTTAACAGACCTTGTGCCACAACTAGTTGGGAATTTAATAAAGATGGATAGGAACTGAAAAGCCTTCCATTCCCCAAGCATTTTAATCAAAATGCCAGAAAAAGACTGTATATTTCCTTCTATCTGAGCCTAAAAATACTTCAAGAGGGTGAAAGCTTGCTATACAAAGAAATACACTGAGATGAAACAGCCATGATTTTACCAGCTGGAAATATTCACCATATGGATTCTCACTGCAAAGGAAGGTCTCTCATTTGCCCAAGGCAAAAACTAACCTGCAACAGAGCATATTTTTCCCCAGAATCAAGGGGAAAGAAGGGATTTCTTGAGGTTACAAGTCTTCCACTCTATCACAGTGGCGCGTCAGTAATCCACATCTATCCTGAGAGACGTATGGAGCTGTCGGAAGCAAGGCATTGGAAGGGCACGGATCTGGCCCTGCTGCATGCTCCTTAAGCATGCTCTGGATTTCAGCCCTCCGCATTTTCCATGACAATTAACATTTCTGCAACGTGTCCTAAGCTTTCACAGGATGACACCGGGCAATCAGTGGGAATATTGCCACATTTACACAGAACGCATTGCAAGCTTGCCAGTAACTTCCAACAGCTTGCCAGTAACTTCCAACAGCATGCTCAGTCGTGGCAGAGACCTCAGAAAGCAAAACAGGAGAGTTCCCCCTTCTGCTTTTCCTTTATCAAAACAGACCTTTACAGAGGTACAGATTTATCAGGCTTGCATTATAGAGACAGACTCTGATTTAGCAATACGCTACGAAGTTTTAGTGCCAGCAAAATCATTCATGTAATAAAACAGATTATCAACAAGAAGTTGAAGAAGAAATCTAATGTATTCCTACTCTGCTGCAAAAATCCAACATTTAGAATTACTGATATAGAACTGATTTATATACCAAGGAGCTTAAGAAGCTATGTCAGAGAGACATTTTTCTTCCTTATTTTTCTTTTCTAGTCATTTATGAGATTCTAAAGCAAAGATTTAAAAAGAAACTGTAAGAAAACAACACAACAGAATAACAGAAAAAATAGGAGTAGCAGCTAATAACACACATGCTAGCTCTGAGAAAAAAAGCATTAAGATTCTGAGATAGCAGAACTGCTGATTTAGCGTTATGTTGGTTGTCAAGATATTTCTTCCTAAGACATTCGGAGATAGCAAGTGCAATGTGCCCTGTTTCGTCAGCCATATTACAAAAGGTGGTTAATAACGACTACATGGCAGTTTCTAAACTCCACCAAGAGAGAGAACTTCAGACTAGAACCCACAAATTCATGTGGTTCATTGGCCAAGGAACAACTTTCTGAGTTCACAGCTCATCATGCAGTCACTGCCATATATAGCAGTAAAGAGTGCTACGAGGAATAAGAAGCTAGTTGTTTTAAATATGGATTTAGAGACCTAACATTTGGCCATTCCTAACACAAAAGTGATACAAATACATCATAAAGACTGCACCTTCAAGCATGCAAAAAAGTAAGGTTCTTAAATATCTTTTCTATTATCTGTAATATTTATAAGGCTTGCTCTACTGAACTAGTCTTTGTTAACAGCTCTGCCATGTACATTAAACCAGAATAGAAATATTGTAAACATGGCTGAGTTATTAAATCAGTTTTGATTTTGCAGTTTTAAGACTGAATTAATACTGTAATGTTATAGTCTTTGTATTATACAGATAAGTGGGCAAAATGAAGTAATTCCTGGCTGACAGCTGTTCACAGGGCACAGAGAGTCCCAAAAAAGTAAGTAAGGCTGTTAGTTTGTTTATAGATGTACATATAAATACAATCTCTAGCCCCATTTTGTTCTGTCTCAAGGCGACATCTTCAAATGTTAGTAGCTAAACGTTATGTTGATACAAATTATCACGATAGATGCTGCCCCGCTATATCTTGATTAGAGTCTTTTATGTATCTATTACTATTCATACACTATTTTCCTTTATACCATCCTCTTTCTGTACCCACTAGAAGTCCAAAGCTCAACTGAAAGCTCAAAGAAAATTATCTATCATTAACAGCAGGACAAAAATTCTACCTTGAATCTCTAAGCTGACGATATTTTCCATTATTTTATTCAAACTCTCAACTGTTTTGTACTGAAAAAACTTGCAATTATAA